ATCTGAGCACATGACCATATCAATGATATTTGTTTGATTTGCAGTTCTGATGCTTTTGGGTTTGTTCTGCATTCTGGTCATGTGCAGTGATGGGTACACTGTCCACTTGCTGTTACATTTGATTTGAGGAATGGGCCAGTGCTGTGATGATCACATCATAAATGTTGAATGTTTTATGCAATGATCATGGGCAACCTTTCCGATGACTGAGGCAATGCTCATGACCTATGATGTGTCTTCCTTTTACATCTCTCTACTATGTTCATAGCTGAGGCAATGATTATGAGCAATGTTGATTTTTTTTTTGAAGCATGTTGATCTACCTATAACATGATGGCTGAAGCAATGGTCAGTTGCTTTGTCCTGTTTTTTTACATCTCTTTCTGCCTATTCTATTTTCTGTATTTTGGAGTCGCGGTCTCCTCGCATTGCACAGGCGAGGATAAGGCTTGCCATTGACACCCTTCCCCAGACCAGAGCGGGAGCTCTCTGCACTGGGTACGCCCTTTTTTTTTTGAGGCACCGATAAGAGGTAGTGTTTATTGCCTACTCAGTCGCATGCTATTCGCATGCTATGTGGCTGGAATTAGGTCTTGCTTATGAAATCTGAGCTTCTGATGTCATTGCTATGTGATAGATTTTCCCTTTGTCTAGCCTGATCTTTGCCTTTGGTTTTCCATTCATACTTGCTTATGATCATTGCCTGTGATGTCAATAGCACGTAACTGTGCAATCTGAGGTTCAGTTTATTGCTTGTGAAGTCATAGATTCATTCTTGTTCATTCCAGGCTTGTGATCATTGTCTCTGATCAGTGCTTGTGATGTCAAATTATATATTGCTGGTTCTGAGCATATGCCCTATTCCTAAGGATTACATTGTCAAACACTTTGATTGCCTGTCAACAGTTTTCAGCCTCCTATTTCTTTGAGTTTTCAGTACAATTATTATGCGCTCTGCTGTTTTTTGAACTCAACTGCAATAGCTCCAGGCAATGGCCAGTTACTTGCTGCTGTTTTTTGCATCTCTTTCTACCTTTTCTATTTTGCTGCTACCTATTTAGGTGCTGTTTTTTTGGACTACAACGATTTAAGGTCTGTCCGCCTCTCAGAATTAACCTATCTGAAATCATTATAATAGATTTTGATTATTTCAAATTGGTGTGCAGGGCCATGTGGTGGATAGAAGCTATACATATGGAACCTCAAGAGGCTAATAATCTATGCTTTCATTGCCCTGTAGCGACATGATGCAGGTGATGATATATTGAGGTTTGGTAGGGCTGGAACAAACAATTGAGTGGATGCTGGTGCTCGTTACCGTGTTTTAATCCCTCCTGATAGCATTCTAGAATTTCTTGATGGTTTGCCCTACTTAGGTGTAGGTTTCCCTTTCAGTACAGTTGCTCAACAGTACAATTGCTTCCATCAAGTTTTTAGCTAAGTTATTTTGGCTAATGCTCGCCCAGGTTTTTCAGAATAACTTTTACTCTTGTGCGTGAATTTTGGTTCGAGAAACGTCATCATCATTCCATAAGTGAATTTTGAGATAGCACTTTGAGATAACATCAGCATTTCAGTTATTTATTGTCCCCTTGCAGGTCTTGGTTCCTGGGCTGCCGACAAAAGGAGAGGGGTTCAAGTAATTTCAAAGATACCATTTTGGTTTGTTTTTTTTACTCCTATGCTTGCTTATTTGCACTTCAAAGTTTTTTAAGCCCTACTATACAGAGCTACCAGTTTTCAATTTTCCATTCTCAGTTATCACTGCCTTGGTTGACCAGCCTTTGATGATACCATGAACTAGAGCCACACAAGTGTAAATCTCTATGCTAGGTTTTTAGATGTAGTGCCTGATAAATCCCTTGTGTGGTATGTAACTTCCAGTTAAATGATGCAGTGTCCGGTAAGTCCCTTATATGGTTCCAGTTAGATGAACAATTGTTACCTATCCACAATTTGTTTTAGATTGAATTTACCCTGACTGTTCTATAAAGAAAAAAATGAATAGGACTTATGTACCCAGTGCAGCGGTTACTGGAAAATAACATTCCTCTTTTCTTCTTTTTATCGCTTCTCTATAGCTAATAGCCTAAAAGCAACCATTCCTCTATGTTTTTTTTATGATCTATCATTACCATTTTTACCCTGCCAGTAATTGATCCTTGGCGGGAGCTCAGAAATAATTAGTCCTTTTTCTGAACTGTATGTTTTGGTCCAATGAAATTGGAATGCCTCGTCACTAACGACATGACTTTTGGAGGACGACTCTCGAGTTAGTGTTTCCATGGTGCTGGTACCACATGTATGCGTTAACATCTTTTAGTTATGTACAGTGGCCATTTAGGCTATCTCTGCCATCTTTTGCCATATCAGTGAATAAGATCATGTTTCAGGAATGCATCTTTATGTTGCTCTCCCTTCCCTCCTCCCCTTCCCTCTTCTGAATTTCCTAGACCAACGTAAAGTAGCACATTTTTAGAAGTTATTTATAAGTTAGACTGAAACAGTATAAAACTGCGAGCAAAGATAGCTTAATCTTCATTTAAGGAATGATTACCTGTACCTTGGTGTATTACATTTCTTATTACTCTTATGTTATCGTATTGCCTTGAGCTAGCCAAATACAAATACAGCAGCAAACATACCTCTTGCCACAGCTATGTTTATGTTTCTCTTGCCTCCTACCTTCCTATTCTGAAAATCTACAAATTTATTTCCTTAGTTATTCTTAAATTTTGCATTGTAAATTCAGTCAATAGGTTACTATATCTGTTCCATGTGCAGACAACCTCACAACCTGATTCACCCTGGTAGGAAACTACCCTCTACTGTCATATGAGACATGGTCTGCTCACTGATCACTCTTTCATTCTATGCTACATGGCTTAGTTCCCATAAAGCATGCTGATTTGATTGACATTACACTCCTATTCATAAACAATTCTTTAGTTCGTACATGGTGGCTGGAGTAGTAGTTTACATTTAGTTATATTAAATGTTAAATTCGTCATATACCATGCTCTCTATTTTTCGCTATAGACAAGGGGAACATATATAGTTTATATTTGTTTGCTCAATGATATTTACAAAAACGCTTGCTTACCAACCTTACTATCTGCCATTGTTTCCTCGGCTCTGAACAAAGATAGAATTATAGTTGTTTTCCTAATCATAACTGGAACATGGCTATCCCAACTATTGAACGTACTAGATTCCATAACCATGTATCATCTGCTACTGAATTATTACTTATCCGTGGTGTGATCTTCTTGATTGCATTCATCTCTTTGCGTTCATGTTCATACTTTTCATTATTTCACATGTTCAGTTCATGTCCTTCTTGTGAGGCGCTTGTGTTCAGATAATTTCCTGATTCCAGCACGCCCTCTTCCTGTATGTCCCTTTAATTTATTATTATTTCTGCATTCTAACATCTGTTTTCCATATTTCCTTTTTTTCTGCTTTGTTCTTCGGTATTTTGCTCATTGATTAAAGAAAAAAATTCCCCACATAGGTTGGCTAGCCTGTTGGGAGTGCTACTGGTAGAAATAGTCTAAACCCATCCTGCGACATTTGAGTGAGTTCTGTGGGAAGTTTTTATTATTTTCCCATTCCCTTTTTATCATATCGATGTCTTCCCTTCAGTCCCATTATTTTCAGATTAAGGGTTGCTCCGCTGTTGGTGTTCAAGACAAAACCATGGATATCACAGGATGCGAACCTGGTGAATTTCCTATGTATCTCTTGGTGCTTTTTTTTTTTTTTTGGGTTTACATGTGTTCTATTACCAACAGCCTGCATGGACTCTTTGCTTGCATGATTCTTTCTGAAATTATTGTTCATAATTATGGAATAGTTGTTATCACCTTAGCTTAATTCCTAGCAGAAGTTATGTTCAGGTCTCCCTGGTTGACTACCAAAACACAGGTACAGCCCCATTATCCCATCAGTCAAGTTATGTTTGCCTAGCCACGAACAGCTTACATCCCGGCTGGCGCACCACTAACACCGCCGCCGCCTTACCTGATCATCAGCTGCAGACCTAAACAAACCGTCTGATGGCTGCGAACACACCCCCCCCACGCACCCATATCGCAGCAAAGGGAACCCCCGTGGAGCCCCAAAATTTTTAAGCGAAAGTTACATAGTGTAAGTAAGTCAAACTTAAGATTGAACAAAGAAGTGCTTATTCAAATTTCTCGAAATATTTTCTGGGTCCGCCCCTATGTGCAGACCTAACAACTTTCGATTGCTCTCGCCACATCTGTATGAAATATGCAGCCACTTATAACATATGCATCCTATAAGTGTGTGTCCATCAAAATGTACCCTAATTATATACATCAGCAGTGTGTGTAGCGTATAAGACCTACCTGTACATACCTAAAGATGGTCACCTGTGCTCGCGCGCAGGGGCGCGCGGCTTGTACTAGTTCACATGATTCATAGTTCATACTATAGAGGTACAAGTACACCAAGATAATTTAATGTAAAATACACCAAAAGAAAGTCCACAATTTCAGTGCACCTCACGCCGTCACGCGTGCAGATGTACAAGCTGTGCACGCAAGCACCGAAGATCGGGGCCCTTCTACACTGGAATCCCAGTCCAACCGCCAGCGGCCAGGTTAGTTCACAGATAGTCAGAAGACACCGTTGCCGTTGCAGCAGCGCTCGCCAGTGGACGACCAGCGCGCTGCGCGCAGGTCGCAGGTCCGCGCGACCCGTCGGTGTCGGTCGGCCGGGCCTTGTCTCTGTTTCAACACTGCCGTGCTCGTGCTCGAGCTCGCGAGGTGTCTTGCTGACTCGCTCTCTCCTGCCTTCCCGCGTCGGCGTCGGCGTCGCCAGCCTCCTCGTATAAGAACCGACACGCCGCCTTCGCACTCGTCAACCCCTCCGCTTCGCCTCCCTCGCTCGCGCTCGCATTCCCTCCCGCCTCCAGATCTCGATGCGGCGGGCGCTCCCCTGACACCTGACGAGGCGACGCCAGCCACGCCACCATGTCCTCCTGCGACGACGACCACGCCGCGCTCCTCAGATCCCACGCCGGGGCCTCGTCGTCGCCGGCCTGCCCCTCGCCGCGCGGGCCGGCGGGGCACCAGCACCACGCCGACGTCGAGGCGGACGAGGCCACCGTCACCGCCTCCCCGAGGCTCGCCAGCGGCGGCGGCGGCGGGGGCGTGCGCGGCCTCCTGCGCAACCTCGAACGCCGCATGACCGCACGCGGATCTGGGCCTGGCCGTCGCCAGCACCAGCATTATCAGCAGCTCGATCGCTCCGTGGCGATCGAGTCGCCGTCCCCGACGCCGTCGCAGCGGCAGCGGGAGAGAGCGGCGGCGGGGGATGACGACGAGCTCGGGGACGGGGCGCCGCCCGAGTGGGCGCTGCTGCTCATCGGCTGCCTCCTCGGGCTCGCCACCGGCATCTGCGTCGCCGCGTTTAACCGCGGGGTGAGTCAGTGCTTTCTAATTGGGAAGTTGGACATTCATGTAGAGTGTAGGAGTAGTAGCAGTGTAGCACAATTTAAATTGGTTTGGTTTGTGAGCTCTGTGTTCTAGTATTTGGGTGTACTTGGTTTTAGTAACGTTTTAGCCTACTTTTGGAATGTGTAACTGCCATGCAAAAGCTAGTGCCATGCTGCAAATTTGGTTCCATTTATGGGCCTGTTTGGTTCAGCCCTCCTAAAATTTAGTTACTAAACTTTAGTCACTTTTAGTCACTAAAATGCCAAACACCTTGACTAAAAGGGGTCACTAAAGTTTAGTGGCTTCGGTCACCAAGGGGTAGCTAAAAGTGACTAAAAGTGGTCCCAGGTGACTTTACTCTCTTTCTCTCTCCTCTCCTTTTCACTTTTAGCCTACTTTTAGCACATGGATCCAAACAGAAGGTCACTAAACTTTAGAGGGCTGACTAAACTTTAGAGGGGTGACTAAAGCAACCAAACATGCCCTATGTCTACCTAATAACCTAAATGATCTATATATAGTATATACTGAGCTAACATTTTGTAACTCATTGATATAATATTATTAAGTATTTAAGTAAATATTATGAGGGATTGAAATGATGGATGTCCAATTGCAACAAATTTTATCTAAAAACTGACCACATTACACTAATGTGTAATTATCTGTGACCAAAATCTTCATGATAATAACCGAGATTTTGTGATTGCATCTTGAACAACTGATTCCTTAATGGTTTTGCTAGGTTCATGTCATCCATGAATGGGCATGGGCAGGTACTCCCAACGAAGGGGCAGCATGGCTCCGCCTGCAGAAGCTAGGTGATACTTGGCACAGGATACTGCTGATCCCGGTTACTGGAGGTGTGGTTGTAGGAATGATGCATGGGTTGCTTGAGATATTTGAGCAGCTAAAACTTGTGAAATCAGGGCAGAGGCAAGGAATCAGCTTCGTTGGAGCCATCTTCCCAACCATAAAGGCTGTCCAAGCTGCTGTTACCCTAGGGACTGGTTGTTCCCTGGGGCCTGAAGGTCCTAGTGTGGATATTGGCAAATCGTGCGCAAATGCATGCTCAGAAATGATGGAGAGTAACCGGGAAAGGCGTATTGCACTTGTTGCTGCTGGTGCTGCTGCTGGCATTGCTTCAGGTATAATTTTCATTCAATAACACATCACAAAATGGAAATTTCATCTTAATTGGATCAGGGAAATGGCTAGATGCTTTTGGCATGCCAACTTTCGGTTTTTAAGATATGGCCTATGATTATTCAGCAGATAACGGAATAGGAGTAAGCATAGATTTGTAAGTGTTGTAAAAATAAACCTTAATGGAGTAGCTAATAAGGATCAGTCGCAATGCTGCCCTTAAAGCTACAACCCTTAGTTTTAGCTTTTAATCTACAATTGTACTCTTTTTCATGATATAAGTTAGCTAATATACTGCTCCTGGTATGTGTGTCTTTTCAGGCTTCAATGCAGCAGTTGCTGGGTGCTTCTTTGCCATTGAAACTGTATTGAGGCCCCTTAAAGCAGAAAATTCACCTCCATTTACGACTGCAATGATAATATTGGCATCTGTTATATCATCTACTGTTTCAAATGTTTTACTTGGAGCAAGACCAGCTTTTATAGTGCCAGCATATGAGCTAAAATCTGCTGCTGGTAACTGTTCTGATCTTTTCTTACAGTAACTTTAGTAGCTATCCTTCTTTTTATGAAGTTTCAGGGCACCTCTTGTAAAATGTTTCTCTAAGTTCATCAAGCCCAAATACACGATTCCATTTGTTTAGGTTATGGGCATAATGTCAATAACGAATTTTTCTCATAAGTTAGGATTGACCTTTTCGTTATGAATTTCAAGTTTCCTTTGGAAATCTCATTATTCTATGATGTTGACTTGGGTCACATAACATTGTTCTCCTATTTTGTAAATTCAAGTGTATGTGAAATGTGTGCTTTTTAGGTTTGTCCTAATCTCTTCAACTTGTTTGCAGAGCTACCCCTGTACCTTATCTTGGGAATGCTCTGTGGAGCAGTGAGTGTGGTATTTGATGGATTGGTAGGATGGTTTTCAAGATTCTTTGGGCGCATAAAGGAAAAGTTTGATTTTCCTATTATAGTGTACCCTGCTTTGGGTGGGCTGGGAGCTGGTATCATAGCTCTGAAATATCCAGGGATCTTATACTGGGGTTTCACAAATGTTGAAGAAATATTGCATACTGGGAAAAGTGCTTCTGCTCCTGGTATCTGGTTGTTAACTCAACTGGCAGCTGCAAAGGTAGTTGCAACTGCCCTCTGCAAGGGCTCTGGCCTTGTGGGAGGGCTATATGCTCCAAGCCTGATGATTGGGGCTGCTGTGGGAGCTGTTTTTGGGGGTTCAGCTGCTTATTTAATAAATTCAGCTTTACCTGGTAATGCTGCTGTTGCACAGCCACAAGCTTATGCTCTGGTAAGTTGCTTTGCAACCCACTTTCCCTTCCCTAATGCGATAAGTAATAATGTGCACTAGCTCTGATTTTCTGTAGGTCGGAATGGCTGCTACACTAGCCTCAGTCTGTTCAGTCCCATTGACTTCAGTACTGCTTCTCTTTGAGCTGACAAAAGATTACAGGATTTTGCTTCCTCTCATGGTAAGTGTTAACTGTCAATGTACTCTTTCTATATTTTTGCTACACAACATATGAACACAAATTTGTCTAGTTATTTTCATTACCATTTCATATGCCGCGGACATATAGGTCATGTCCTTCGCCTCCTAGTGCATGTTCAAACTAATACACATTTTATTTCCTGGCTCTTAACAGGGAGCAGTTGGGTTGGCAATATGGGTTCCTTCAGTAGTAAACCAGCCAAACGACACTGAGCCTTCTGGGTTTAGAACACCCAGGCGAGGTTATTCTTCAATTTCACCAGAAGACAGAAATGGTATCTCAAGGCAAGGTGGTGTTGTGGATGATCTTGAGCTCAGTATTATACAAACTGACATAAGTAACTATGGAACTTATAATGAAGAAATGCTTCTGGATGATTTGAAGGTTTGTCAGCCTCTATTCTGGCAGATTTTACCCATATCCAACTCTTGTTACCACATATAGCATATTCAATTGACGTACTTTATAATGCTTGAGAATTGCAAGGTTGTAATTGTGCTGTTGTTTATGTTGTTTCATTTGTCTGTACCTTTTTAATCAGGTCTCCCAGGCCATGTCAAAGATATATGTCAAAGTGTTACCATCTGCTACAGTAACAGAAGCTCTTAAGCTATTGCATGATAAACAGCAAAATTGTGCCCTGGTTGTGGACCCTGCAGATTTTCTTGAAGGAATTATTACAGTAGGGGATATACGGCGCATGGGATATGGGTTACACATGGAAAGTTTCATCGATGGAGATCACCCCAAGGCTGATGTATGTTTATATGGTGATTGGTGAAATAAAATTCTTTCTTCCCATTAAATACTTCTGTGCCTTTTGAAAATATGGCATGAGCACTGCCTTATATTAAGAAAGAAAGGAAAATTTATACAGCATAAAAGACTTAGTGCACAGGTTTGGGCCAAGGTTGACAATCTAATGAGCTTATGTTAATTTAGCACTGAATAAAGCTCAGAGTAACATTTTTTTTTTTTCTCAAATATGCAGGAGAGCCACATATCATTGCATTAAGGAGATAAATAAATTAGAATACACCCACCACGCTCTCTCTTCTCACACACACACATGCTTTACCAGAAATAAATGCGCCTCTTACATCAAACCATGACCCGACCCAACAAAACCACCAGCTTATCTATTAGCAACCTCTAGGTGGGGCAAGACCTCTAGCGCCTGCAAGGCCCCAGAGGTGTGCCTCTTCAAGGATTTGTCTTAGGATGAGCTGGATGCTAGAGTTGGCCCATTGAAAACACAATTATTGCTAAATATGGCTATGCTAACAAGTAACAAATTATCATGGCCACTTTTACACTGTTTAAGCTAACCGTGTCTTTTAAGGAATCAGTAAGCAATAAACTCAAATTGTGATGTCTACTATATGTGCAATCATCCTAGCTTCTGGAGACAGAAACAATTTTCACAGCTTTCTTGTTGGAAAAATGTATTGATCCAAAGGTTGTTTGCAGGACAACTCTTCCTCCATTTCATCATGTCTTACTCGAGGATTCCAGTACCGTGGGAGTGAACGTGGATTGTTAACATGCTTTCCAGATACTGATTTGACCACTGCAAAAAGTCTTATGGAGGCCAGAGGGATAAAGCAACTGCCTGTAGTTAAGCGTGGTGTTGCCCATAGAACTGCAGGAAAGCGCAAGCCGATTGCCCTTCTACATTATGATTCTATTGGTTGCTGCATGCGGTTAGTCATAAGCTTAGATATGCTTTGTTTCAATCCTTCTATTTTCTTTGTTTATTGAAATTTGCCTAACCTACCTGTGTAGGTTTGTTAGTACTACCCTCATCTATGCTAATACAATTAATTTCTTTTGCTTGTCAAGGGAGGAAATAGAGAACTGGAAGACCATATATCAGAGACTGGCTTGTTAATAATATGATACTACTTGGACGATATTATTATTCATTTGATTGCCGAGGGAGGATATTGTGAACTGAAGACCATATATCAGTGAAAAGCAGGCTTTCCTCTTGTAGCAAATGGGCACTGAAAAATTACAGTGCCCTTAATGACACCACAACAGTAAGCGATACTACAGGACATCTATGCGAAATGCGACTACACTGATGCAGGGATCATTCAGGCAGTTTAACCTCTATACTGTATCATTTATAGATTCCACTGTGATCTTATTGGACAGTGCAGGGGCAAGCCTGACAAATTCTGCAGAGACTTCCCATTACTGCCAGTTTCATGTGGCATCCCTGCTCCACGTATTTGTTCTTGTTACGACCTGGACTTGTACTTTACACGGGGTAGGAACGAAGTACAGACGTAGTGAAAGAAAACGGTACTTTTTACCCTCGTACTGCTTGTAAATTGTAAGGTGTAGCATATATTACAGCATAATCTCACTTTCTGTTGCTGTGAAGCATAATCGTCAGTGTGATCACACAAGGAATTTGTGCAGTAGAATTGGTCATGTCGATGTTGTAAGTTGAAGAATCACATTGCTTGTAAAATTTGCCAGCATGTTTAGCTCCTCTGATGAGTATGTTGTTGTAGAAACTTGCATGAGGCCTTTGTTCTGCACACTGTTGAGTCTTGACGTACGCTTGTATGTTGTGACGTAGCATGTACAGACTAAAATCCCAGGCAAACGGTTGGGATCACGCACTAGTTTTGCTGAAGCACAAATGTTAACCACTGCAGTAAACTGTAAACAACTGCCATTTACTATAGCGAATAACTCTTAAGATTGTTCCAAGTGTGCAGGAATCTCTCATTTTCGGATGGACGCGTACGTTTCATTTTTTTCCGAATCTCACAATGAAAACTTTCAATTTTTAACAGAATTCTAGATTCTAGATGTACGGTTTACCACTAGTTGGACATCCTCCTATGGATCAAGATTCGTCATACTTTGTGATATCCACATATAATATACAAGCAACAACCCACAGTACAGAATGCTTGTCAGGATGCATACCAGCTATCAAGGACACAGAGGCCTGAACAGCATCAAAGAGAAGTAAATGGAATTTAACGCACTAATTCCTTTAATTTCAATTTTTTTGTATATATCATTTAGCCACATGTCATAAATACACCGGAAGAATGCTGAACCTTTGAAGAAAGAGTTTGCATCTACAGTGATTCAACACCAAAACTGAAAGGAATAAAAAGTAATAATTGGAAAGTTACAGAGGCCTGCACATTGACCAAAGTGCCGAACAGCTATGGAGAGAATGGCAGATAAATAAGAATCAATGGCAACCATAGGTTCTCAGGCCTCTCTGTTCCTTCAACTGTGGATCAATGGCACCCTCAGGTTCTCAGGCCCGCACAATTGACCACCAAGGAGCTGTGGATCAATGGCACCCTCAGGTTCTCAGGCCCGCACAATTGACCACCAAGGAGCTGTGGATCAATGGCACCCTCAGGTTCTCAGGCCTGCACAATTGACTACCAAGGAGTTGCCCCCCTCTCTTCTGATAAATGGAGAGTGGCAGATAAATAAAGGATCAAAAGCATTCTCAGGCTTCCAGAGAACCGGTCAGCCCTTTGTTCTTAGAATTGTGATGCTGCCTCTCCCCGCTTCTGTTCTGATTCTTGTCTTGCCGATCACTGGCTTGCCAGAGAAAGCTGAAGTTCCCAGGATCTCCAGGGCCTTCTTTGGGGGAGCATGGATTCGCTTGTTTATAACCTGAAGAGTAACATCACCTTCCTCCCAAGACGGTTTGATGAGAGTAAAAGGGTATGCTACTGATGTAGTTAAGTTTTGCTTAACCTTAACTGTTGAAGCGCCTAGCAAGCCAGAAGAAGCCAAATGACAACACCGATAAAACTAGAGGTTTTTTTTAGACAAAAGATAAAGCTAGAGGTTTGTGTTCCAAGAAATAATATACTGTCAAACTGAAATACCTTTAGAGACTTTGAGTGTAGAAAGCTTCCTAGTTTCCTGCATTATGAAACTTTCTGTCATCGGTGCAATCTCGCTTGTTCCTGTGGGCATAGAAATAATAGATAAGTTGCTAACCACAAATACATAACCATCGTGCCAGGAAGGCACTCAATGGTGTGGCTACTGGTCATAATAGTACATTGCAGCAACTGCCAATACACAATTGTGGAAGAGGAAAATGGGAAACTAGAATGCTTTCAGATATCACGTGAGAGTTTAAGAATATAATGGAACAGGAAACTCACACATATGTTGGAAGCTGACTTGCAAAACTAAATAGAAAATTGATTATCAAATGGTACAGAAAAAATGCTTCCCACTGACCTGAAATACCAGCTTGACCATCAATATTTGCAATGCTCTCCCAGCTACAAGGCCTACAACAAATAGGATATGAATCACAATTGACAAATAATCATAGGCCCAGTAAAGTGGTCAAAGTGCAACAAGAGAGGAACTAACACTTGATCAGGCTCGATGTACACTGGGGTTCCATAAGAGCAATGTTCAAAATGGTTATCTTCTTGCTCGTAGGGTGCTTCATTTGACACGGAATTTATTGAATCTGATGTGAAATTTCAATTAGCAAACAGAGACACTATTTAAGCATATATAATGAAAATACGAACCTAAATTATTTGAAGTGTACTGCATATCACAATTTAAGCTCTCTGGTTCATCAGTGCAGAGCAATGAAACCTCTGCTACCTGAAAAATGGATCAACAGAACAAACGTAACTACGATATGCAAAGAGTAGCAAAAGAGAGGGATTTGAAACATAACAAGGACTAGGAGCAAGCGAAAAACCTCAGATGTGACAAAAGGAGAACCGGTTTCATGACTTGCAACTTCTGACTGACTAGACTCTGAAGGGTACTCCAATGTGCGCCGCCGCTTTGACTCCCGAGATTCCTCCAGGTCCAGGGTCTCCTTGCAGGTGATGTCTACTCAAGTAACTGACACTTAAGCGATGCATTCAAGAGTGGCAGCAATGATGATTGTCAGAACAAAAAGCTTCATACCACCAAGGTCGGCGAAGAAATCACAGCAGTCTCTCAGCGGGGTTCGATTTCCAAACAATCCCAGCAGCTCATCGTCATCTTGATTGAGGCAATCCCACAAGAATTTAGTAGCATCTACTGTAAAAAAAAAGGTGAGACATAATGGGATAGCAAGTCCAAGCAGATACTCTAGAGTTCATTTGTGACATAGGTTATGGATGTGACTGAAAGTACCATGACTTCCATCTCTAGGTTCGCAATGCTCTCCTGTTTGCCAATCCCAGAGACTGCCGAAAGCATTACAAGATCAGGTACAAGTATAATAGATTGCCACAAAAGTAGTGCACCGGAACAGCAAGTTAATTTAGAAGCATGCAGTTCAGGGAAGAGTTGAGAGGGATAAGCTAAATCACGCAAACTGAAGACAATCCAAGAAGCTACTCTGGTAGGGTGTGTGTGTGTGTGGATTTTGAACAGATTTTAGTTTGCCGTGTAAGGACGATTAGCTACTAAAAGGAACAATCAAACGCCCATAAGTGATGCACCAAATTAATTGCGGCCAATCAGGCATTACAATGAACAGCATTACGCACACCTGTTCCAGCCCATATCCTCCCCCCATCCAAGCTGCCGTGTAAGGACGATTAGCTACTAAAAGGAACAATCAAACGCCCATAAGTGATGCACCAAACTAATTGCGGCCAATCAGGCATTACAATGAACAGCATTACGCACACCTGTTCCAGCCCATATCCTCCCCCCATCCAAGCTATGGCCTCGGCATTAGCCTAACTCTCAACCGAGCCAGTGTACAAGTTGAACGGGGCATTCAGGCAATTAAGACAGGTCATGAAGCTATTTAAGGTTGATTAGCCAATGAAACAAAGAATCAAAGGCCAGCAACTATTTACAAACGACCCGACAACTTAATTATCAGCGATCAGGCATTATAGAGAACAGCACACACGCGCCCATTCCAGAGCGCGCACTATTGCAAGAGGAAATCCCAATCAGCGGATCAAATTCAATTCAACGTGGAACGAGCACCAGGTCAGTTCGCCGCCGCATTAGGATGTCTCTACTGTTAGATCGGCGACATGGGACGCCAACAGCCGCCGAAATCGGCCGGCCGGCAAGCCTGCTCGAGGCCTCGTATCATCCGACAGCGGCGCATCGGTCCGAACCAAAACCTCACACCCCAATCCCCGACCAAGCACCCCGCGAATCACGGATCAGCAACAAACGCAAGACGAGACAAGCCCCGAAAGACACGGAATGACGAACACACACGACCCGAGTCCCTCTCACCCACATTTGGCCATTGAAGTCGGCACTTCCACCGGCGGCGGCGCCGCCATGGTACGACTGGTCCATTGGGCCGCCGCAACTAGCCGTTGCAACCCTCCTCGCACCCTCGGCAATCGGATTTGAGTGTTTAACTATGCGAAAGCAGGAGTATCCCACTGTACGGTCCCCCGACTGCTGCTGCGCCTGCGGTTGCGCCGCATTTGTAGACCGAGGGATGCAGAAGGGGGTGACCGGGTGAGAAAAAAGGGAAGAAATGGGAAGTGGGGGAGGTGGGCACGAGGCAGATGGGCTGAGTGAGAAGGCCGTTGGCCACAACCCCCTCGGCCTTCGCGCCGCGTGCTCTCAGCTCAAACCCTCGCTCGATGCAGGCGCGCTCGCAGAGTCGCTCCGGGAAGACGCGGCTGGTGCACTGGGGTCTGGCCGTCTGGGTTAGTAGGCCTTGTGGGATGGACTGTTGTATTGTTGGGCCTTTCTAATGGTTTGGGCTCAATTGGTGTTACCAGGTTAGGTTTTATTTTGGGGCCGTACTTTGTCGTAGGGCCTAGGGCAAATGCTCGGACAATACACACATGCTCCTCCTGTTCCGTTTTGGGAAGCGTGCAAGTTAAGCTTTATCAACTTTGATCACATTTATATAAAATATTAGTAATATTTGTATTTCTAAACAAATTTATTATAAAAATAGATTCAACGATCTATTTAATGATACTAATCCGTAAATATTAATATTTTTTATATATATTTAGTTAAAGTTGATTACGTTGTTGATTTCTGGGGAAATGAGAACTACCTAGAAAAAAGGACGGTATCTGATGCCCCTCTCAAAACAAAAATCTATATCTGACGCAGTAGCACAGATGACGATGTTCACTCGACGAGTAATCACAAAACCACGTTGCACGAAACAGCAGAGTCTCGCAGCGAAGGAATCCGTACAGCACACGAAGTAATAAGAAACGGGATAAAAAATGAAGCGAGAACAGCATGGCGTGCTTCGCTTGGAACAAGGGACTCGGCTCATGGGGTCGAGGGACTCTAGATTGCTCCCTCCATACTAAATTAAATTATAAGACGTTTTTATTTTTCAAGATATGTAGTTTTTACTATGTATTTAGATATATACTATGCCTAGATAAATTATAAAAAAAACATATATCTAAAAATAAGTCAGAATATCTTATAATTTGAAATAGAGGGAGTAGCATTAAGCCACGTGAGATGCTTATATAGGCTGCTTTTACACCATGTAAAATCTAGATCGAGTAATATGAAAATCTCGTGTAAGGCAGATCGTGCTCCTAGAGTGAACAGTCTCCGTGCCTCTTGTATTGTGTTGTTTCCCTTTTTGTTAATATACTCTCTCGTTAAAAAAAATGTAATTTGAGAATAGTGCTATATTAAATTATGCCAAGTTTGACCAAATTTTGTATTAAAAGGTAGAGGTATTAATCATACTAAATACGTACCATTAGATTCGTCATAAAACATATTTTTATAATATATTAATTTGATATCATAAACATTAATATTTTATCTATATATTTATTCAAACTTTAACTACTTTAACCGATAATGTACCTAGAATTGTATTTTTTTTAAACGGAGATAGTATATAATAATATATACACAGGCCTGCGATGGATCTTTAAATGAAAACTATGTCGAGGCAAGAGCAATGCCCTGTTCGTTTGGCTGATAAGCTATGGCTGAAAGTACTGTTGATTGATTTATTGTGAGAGAAAAATACTATTTATTGGCTGAAAAAATATGGCTTATAAGCCAAACTAACATGACGTAAAGACTCTCCACTTGTTGTGCAGGAAGGAAACCCCGGTGCAAAGTACAAAACCGCCGAATGCACAACCGAGCGCAGCCGAAGCCAGGGCTAGAGTCCAGCTGACAGACGCTAAGACGAAAGCTCGGTGTGCACACAAATTCCACAGTGAGTCCGTGACAAACGATCCGTTTTAATTTCCACGACGACACAGTCTCACACGGCAAGAGGAACACTACTTGGCTTGGTCGAGCAGCTGCATCCGGTAAATGCCAGTGTGATACACGGAGTATATACGATAAGCGATATGGCATGAAAGTTAATTAAATGTGCCCTTAAAGACATGTGTCCCACGTACTGCGTCGTTGGATTCGCATGTACGTGTATTTTTTCATTATTCGTCTACGATTCATTAATTGTTAGTACGTGTTTATTTTGTCCACAGTTCTGATGAGTACATATATCCGGAGTCCGGCCCCGTATCACGCGAGACAGTACGTCTGCCCAACGACGTCGCCAATGCGTCAATGAAGCAACTGTGGTATTGCGCGCGTCGCCGGTCATACGTCAAAGTCCATTTAGAGACAGCTGGAGAGGTGGGCAGGCGGCGGACTGCTAACAGCAGATCCATCGATGAGTTATACTTGAATAACAGATAAGAGTTCTTTCGACGACTGTGTTGGAGATGACCTTTTGCCTACATATGTGCACCCTACCAGAATTTGCGTCATTGCTAGAGCTATCTCTTTTGGTCGTTATACTTCTAGAATAAGATTGGCAGTGCTCATGTCCCGTTTTTATTTTGTCAAATAGAAAGAAAGGATATAGAGAGAGATTGACGGGTTGTGCACTTGTGCTTCGAAACCAGCTATAATCCAACCCTAGCTCCATTGTTGACCCATTGACTCTTCTGTCTAATCTTAACGAGCTATAGCTGTGAATCAATGAACAAAACCCAAGCGTATTTAATTTATCAATCTGCGGAAAGAATGATTGGGGTGTTTGTTCATAACGTCTGGAGGTACGTTAAAAATAAGAAGTTTCTTCGAAAGGACAGGCCGGGGATTGATCCCCTAGAGAGCGTGATGTGCGTATAGATTCTAACGATGGCGCGTGATGTGACGTGTTGCCAAACCGGCCGAGACTTTCTACGAAATGCGACCCCCCAAGCGAATAATATGCACGACACGACGGGACAAGAGAAAACGATGGAAATAATGCTGACACCCATTATATAATTCCGTACTACTCACAGCTAACAAACCGGTCCGAGTCCGCTGCCCAAACATACCCCCGGCCCGTTTCCACTTGAAAGACTCAGATTTTGAGCACTTCGATTTTTACAAAACAGACCATTATATATCATCATAAAATTAGAACTCTCACTTGAAAGACTCATCTTTTGAGCACTTTGATTTTTAAAAAACAGACCATTATATCATCATAAAATTAGAAGGTGACTAATGAAAGTCGTTGATTATTAGTGCTTATCCTTTAACAATGACTGCTTCGACTACTAAAATTAGTTTGATGTTATGTATTTTTCTTTAACTTTTGCTAGTGTAAAAAAAAACTTATAATGTTAAAGATAAAGTAACATATAACTTAGAACAGAATTACCTCCACGGTTTTATAATCTGCGCTATGAGACCTCCCGTAGCTGCGTCATGTATGTTGTTCTTTCGGCCTTATCCCCTCTTAATAAAACACGCGTCAACGAACGTGTTCTCGAAAAAAAGAATTTTGATGTATTTAGGATGTTCACTGTTAGGCTTTCTTTACTTATATAACTAAAGGAGTATTTGGTTCTTTAGTCGCTCCTAAAATTCATATCACATCGAATACTTATATACTAATAAAGAGCATTAAATATAGATTAATTATAAAACTAATTACATAGATGGAGGCTAATTTACGAGACAATTTTTTTAAGCCTAATTAATTTGTCATTAGCATATGTTTACTGTAGCACCACGCTATGTCAAATCATGGACTAATTAGGCTTAAAAGATTCGTCTCGCAAATTAGTCGCAAGTTGTATAATTAGTTTCGTAATTAGTCTATATTTAATACTCCATATATGTGTCTAAACATTCGATGTGACAGAAATTCTAGAAGACCCTATAGAAACCAAACAGGACTCTATAGATCACTTAATTCCAACATTCTCCCCTTTGATCAAATGGCATCATCATAAGTCCACACTCAGTAGAATAATGTACCGAAATAATGTGATACAACAGTCAAGAAAAATGCCACTGCAACACAAGTATCGACAGTACACCAAACTACCTCGATAGGATGAAACTCAAACATAATGGGAGTTGGTTGTGTTATGGCCCTCATCCAGGATCATTGAGGCTATCCATTAAACCCATGCCGGCAATATGTTCATTAAAAATTTTGGGTGATAAGCCTTTTGTTAGGGGATCCCCTAACATCATTGTCGTACTAATGTGCACCATATCGATAGTTTGATCCTGGGTTCTATCTTTCACAACAAAATACTTAATGTCAATGTGTTTGGCAGCACCATTTGACTTGTTGTCACTCGAAAGAAACACTGCAGCCTTATTATCGTAGTGTATCGTAATTGGTTTCGAAATGCTGTCAACCACTCTAAGTCTGGGAATAAAATTCTTTAACCATACGGCTTGCCCAACAGCTTCATAACATGCCAAAAATTCTACATGCATGGTTGATCCTGTTGCTATGGGCTGCTTACAGCTTTTCCACGAAATGTGTAACACCCTCGGTGTTACACCATAAATTATTTACTAAAACATGTTATGAGCATTATGTTTATATGTTAATGCATGTAATAAAGTGTGTAGATCAATTTTTGTAACTCAAAACGATCAACAAAAATGCGAAACGAAAGTTGATTCAATAGTCATGTTATATCACTTAAGGTTGAAAACCAATTTTTATTAAGCAAAAATGCTATAGAACACATATGTGTCACCTTAATAAAGTTGGAGGTACAAACTTTATAGATGACAGTGAAATACTTGCGGTCGAAAAATGATATTACTAGCTAATATTTCTGCTAGCTTAGAAATCGCAAATGGAAATAAACTTCAGCTCAAAAACTTAGAAATTTTCAAGTCTGTCAATAGCTAGACATTGCTATGTTTAGCAATTTATTGTGAGAAATTGGGTTAAGGAGTGGTGTAGTGTTATAGCTCGATTTGGTAGCCTCATGTGCCATCTTGAGTATGGTGAAGATGGTTTAGGTCCTAAAGCAATCGTTTGGTCGTGTTGAGCGCTTTAAAATTTGTGCGCGCCACTG